TTGACAAAACAACGCTGCTTAGCTTATGTGTCATTACAGCACTGCGGTCTTCTACGTGGGACATTCCCCAGCCACGGAGAGAGCGTCGCAGCTTAATGCTACGCACTGTCTGAACACTTAGGTTCTTCTCTAACCATCGAGTATCACGGCGTATCGTGTTACTCGGAAGGTCATGCAAGAAGAGCCTAGACCTCTCGTATATGAGCTTTTGTAGTTTCCATGCACTGCGCTGGTCAGAACTAAGTTGGCCACATTGAGCTGTCTCATCAACCAAACTGCTCAAATTGGAAGATCCAAGAGTGGAATACATATCTTCGAGTAATTCTTCCTGTGGGGCTGCGAGCAATTTCTCCTTGAAGAGGCTAAAGCTGGAATAGTCATCAACGATAACTGCGTCCGTGGCACTTGTTAAATGCCACTCCTTAATTGCCTGTTCCTCTTCTTCATCATCACTAGATTCTCCCGTATCTAGAAGTGACTTCTTGGTGTCTGAACTTCGAGGAATCTCCTTGCTTGCGAATAGGAATGGAGCACGTTTCATCTCTGCGAAGAGGGCTTTGTCCTTTCTGATTGTTGGCATGTTCTCTGCAATTCCTCGTAATAGCTTCAGATACTTTTCAGAGCTCTGCAGCTTAGATGATATCCTCGTAGGCTCCTTGACAAGAATAGAAGCCAGTTCAGAATGTGTTGGCTGCCTCTTGGAGCCACATGCAAGGAGAAATATGTTTGCCTCAGTCCCAAAATCTACAAAATCAAAAATATCTCCATATTCGTCAGAATCACCGAGGTAACAGTTGCGAGGAGCAGCGTATTGCATTGTGGCAGTGCTCTTTTCTGTCAGGGGTTTCCGGTCTATAGGGATTATGGGGGCTTGCCCAATGCGTGCGGCAGATGGAGGTGAAATTTCAGCAACACGGCTGGCCATATATTTAAAAAGGGCTCTTGCTTGGGATTTCGATTCCGGGCGTTTTTTAATGAGGATGGTGATACATTCGTTGATCGATGGGTGATGACTCACTCCAAATTTCAAAGCATGAGGGTGCAAATCCCTGCGAAGAATGTCAAACCCAAACAGTGCAGCTCCTTCGGCAGTGAAACAATTTGAAGGGTTACTTAGGCCACCCCCTTCTACTGGTAGGAACGGAGTCATGGATTGACTATAGTCAAAATTGGCATAATTATTGGAGACATGGTTTGTAATGAAATAACCCATGGCTTTGTCTAGAAGCCTTAAATCATTAGAGGCTGCAGCATATGCCATGAGTTTAATCATTTCCGCCGCTGTTGGTATGCTCTTCAACCCAAGAGAGGCCAAAAATTTGCCCTCGGCGCTTGAGGGGAGATATTTTCCGGGCCAGTATAGGAGAGGAAAACCAAGATCTCTGAAAGCGGCGTTTGGCTCAAACAGTTGTGAAACTTGATAACGTTCTTCTGATGGTTTTCCGTCACCTTTTGTCTCTGCAGAACATATTTTAGCCTTGCGGAGCTTTGTTATATCTTCTGGGGGTATATCCTGGCGAACAGAAGCTAAATATTTAATCAACTCGACATGGCTCCATTTCGCCTGGGATACTGCACCCGTATCTGTCCTATCTTTGGAATTGTTCAAAAGACGTTCAAAGATAATACTAATGTCCACAGTTTTTCGCACACCCAAGTCACCTAGAAATTTCTCTTTGACGCCATTCAGGCCGGTGACAACTGGAAGATCATCAAAGATCCGGACTGAAGGGAAGTAGGCTTCTTGTGGTTTACTCATCCCTGTCTTTGTGGGGATGACCGTATGTTGCCGCAAAGAATCAACTATTTCTCTCTTCGAGCTAGCTGGTATGGAATCCCATTGTTTAGACACAACCGGGAGAACACGGATAGCAAAATCACGCGAGCGGGTTATATCATGTTCAGCTGGTAAAAGGTTGCGATTAGAGGAGTTATGCACCAGCCACTGGACCCAAGTATCGACCTGCAGTTCCTGCCAACCGATCGACAATAGGCCAGACGCTGGTAATGGTTTTGAAAATTTAGGCGGAAGAACAAAAGGGGGTAGTGGCAATTCCGGAGAGATACGGGTCAAATTGGCAAAGCAACTGATATCTCTTAATACTAGGAGTGCGGAGCCTCTATCACCTTCTTCGTTGTTAGCCACTGCAACTGCAAGAAGCGACTTGACTGTGGCATTGTTAATTTCCCCGTGCTTAGACTTCTGAATAATCCATGAAAGAAACTCATGCAGCTGCGGCGAGGTTAAGGCCTTATTCTCTAACTCGGTCTTTATATCAGTTATTGTGACTTCGGTGATTAAGCCGAACTCAATCAATCTTCCAACGAATCCCCTAGCTTCGGAGACCAACTGTTCAGGGAGAACTGGAATTCCATCCATAAAACTAAGGTCCTTTGGCGCAGTCCGGACTTGGTGGCTTGGAAGGATACCACGAGTAGATAGGATCTCCAAGTAGGCATTCTGGCTGCAGGTCCAGAAAGAATCTTCAACCACCTGCCGTACTTGTGAAGTTGGAGTTGACTCCCGAAAGACAAACTGATTTGAAATATGAATGGTCTCCGGAAGAACTGCACTGATATCTTCTTTCTGAAGATAAGACCTTCCGGACTTTTTAAGCCTGAAAAGAAGCTGATCCTTTAGGGATGACATCTCAGCGGACCAAGCAATCCTACAAACAATCCCAACAACTCGCAGAAGCTCAAGGTTCCAAGTACGAACCCAACGAGCATTTAAATCTATGCTCTCTCGCTCCACGGTTGGAATCAACGATGGGGCTGATACATGCGCGTTCAAGCCTGTGGTCTGGTGAGTCGGGAAACCGATATAAATTCTTCCAGAACGGGATGGGGTAACACTGCTGAAGATGTCCTGCGTGTCAGGGCTCGCCGAAATGGGGGAAGCAGTATATGAAGTGGTAAGTATCGCAAGTCTCGTTGTTTTTGGAGGCGGCTTTTTTGTTGCCCGCTCTAACTCGTGGCTAAAAGATTGTGAAACTGATGTCTTGATGTGGCCAGTAGTGATTTGGAGGAAGACGGAGGAATTCTTGTAAGCAAGAAGGTTCTCTTCGGCGCCATTCCGGCCAGACTTCTCAGATTTTGAATATTTATCATCAGTCGTGGATGAGCCAGTAAGTCGGGAAAAGAAGCTTCTTAGAGACGCTGTAGTATCATGTACACGGTTGCCTTCGTACCTAGATGAATTAGTCGGAGATTTCCAACCTACCGCCTTCATACAAGCAGCATCCAGCTGAGCAACCTCTCGGGTTATATCAGCTACCCTCATTATTCCATCCTGAGTTTTGGTTGATATGTCTCTGGGTATCATAACCTGAACGCCTGGGGCAAGCTTCTTTGAGAGTTTCAACAGGTTCCAATCATCCAGCCAAAGTTCTATAGCCTCTAGTCCAACAAAGGTAAGACTACTGGCAAGAAACTGGCAGAGAGGCATGAGTCCCGGGATTGGCGAGGTTGTATTTCTATAATCAAGCACAAAGACCGTGTCAGGGCTGGAGTCTCTCTCGTCTAGTTTTAAACGGCGTGTGAAAAGTGCGTTTTCTTTCCAGTAAAACGCAATCGCCTCCTTACCAGAGGAGACAAATGGTTCTTCACAATCAGAAAATACACTGTAAAAGCCAACACCAAAAGCCCCTATTTTGGTTTCATCTGGGTTCCCTTCTGCTATCCGCTTCAACCGAGCCCAGTCATTGGCACTGAACGGAGTGCCGTTATTTCGCAGCGTGAGCCGTTTTATGGTATGATGTGATATAACATGTTTTATTAGTGAGCTGTCGTCTGTAGCAGTAGGTGCAGGGACTGTCATGGACGGCGTAGTTTCGAATTTGATTACCACTCTGGTGGCCGAGGCATCTGAGGCGTTTTGTATGAGTTCTCGCAACACGGTCCTAATAAGCAAGAGTGTCAGAGCTGAATAGGGTATCCCCGATGACAATCAGAAAGAGAAAAATAATCACCATTCTCCAGAATATCGTGCTAGCACTTTGTCAATTAGAGCTCGAGTGTTGACTGTAACAGCCTCTTCATCAAGGCCAGATCCAATGGCTCTGGCCTTCAACGAGGTGAAATCAATATTGTTTGCCATAGTACGTCATTAGCATAACATATCTCAGGTCTTCAGACCTAAGGAATATATGTTCAAGGCCTCACGATCACCGGCTCATTCCCCTCGTTGCGTGAAGGGTACACCTCTGCTGAACGACTAGGCTCCAGTCAGATATGACGTAGAGGATCGTACCTCGCGGCCTTTCCGGGCCAAACAAAGCAGTGGACGAGAAAGTAGCTATGATATCAGACAGATGGAGCTTGTCGAATACCTCCTTTGTATCCCCCACCGGTGGTTAGCTGATAAACGGGCGTTCGTGGTGTTTTTGTTTCATGAACGTGTGAAAGTGGCCACAACGGCGGAGTGTCGACAACTCCAGCTCATGTGACGGACGCAAAGGTTGGTGATGTCAACACCAACCGCCCAAAAAACTGCAACTGCTAACTACGCTAACTACGGTGAAGTCACTCCAGACTCGCGATCGATGAAAACGCCTGAGCTGTTAACGCATTTGCAGAGTCCAGCGACGGTAGACCTCTGCCCACCGCTTAGTTAATGACCTGAATTTGCCCCTGCGATGCTTAAACACCGCTTCGCGCGCAATCCAGGCCAGCTGTGAATCGATTCTACGACCAGCCTCCGATCCCAATGTTACAATGACAATTGATCCCCTTTCCCCTATTGCGCCGGCGCACCTACGGGTCCTGTTACTTCCTACTGGTAGAATCAGGCGATCGAGGTTCTTAGGCTTCGCCGAGCGACTTCGAGCGCACAATGTGGTTCGTCTGGGAGATGTGAGCCCGGATGGGAGTTCAAGCAAGAGTATGGAGAAGCCGTTAGACTGCTAAACCGAAGGGAAAAGCTTCATATTAATGGTTTACCCTATAGCTAACATTTCCTGATTCTAGATTCGTTCTCCCCGCTTGCGTACCCATCTGGAATGATTATCTACGACCTATCTATATCCGTACCCCCTATCTCCCACCTGGAAGTGTTTCCATTTGAGCTTTTCAGGGAGCCGCTTGTCATTCTAGCAATTGCCGATGGCACAGAGATCGCAAGAAAAAAAGATCGAGATGGGAATGATCCACTCAAGGAGAAGTCCGGTGGAACTGGACACAAGAAGCATCCTAGCCCGGAGGGCCTGGACCAGCTTATTAAAGAGCTAGATGGGATAAACACGGACTACCCTAAATCTGTACTCCAACAGCTCTTAGTTTTTGACTATGATGGGTTAGAAAACATAGCTTCTGGCCCTGAGCAGGTAATTTGGATACCCAGCCCGGAGGCATCACGTCCCACAACCATGAAGACGGTAATGTGTGATATATCTGCCCGAGTTCTAGGAGGGCTACAAAAGCTCTCAGAATCAATACCGCAATGGCAAAGTATTGAATCTCCAAAGGTATCATCTTGGGGTCCACGACGGGCTTTAGATGCTAAGTCACCCGACAAGCTCTCCCACAGAATGACGATGCCAGCACATCTGCCATCACGGCCAACCGAGCAACCCTTGGAAGGCACCGAATCGCCCCCAATTGTCAACCATGAATCACCTACCACATTCGATGAAATCACTCGTTCAATCCAAATATCGAACAAAACGACTTCAGCACTTAGCTCTAGTTCCAAACCCGGGTCTAAGGAACATAGTCGAGATCGATCTTCAGTAGTGGGAGTTTCCAGTCTTGCATCCAACGAGAGAGCAAAATCTCGTTTCCAGGGCCGTCTTCATGTTCTTACTGGCCTACTCCATCTCCAAGGAGGCTTATGGCCTGAGGCCCTTAAAGACCTTATAGAAGGCGCTTCCATTGCTAGGTCTGGGAGTGATTATATATGGCATGCCAAGGCCTTAGAAGCGATATTGATCTGTCTTCTTCTGTTTGGGTGGGTGGGTGCAAGTTTTCAGGTATGCAACCTCCCTTTGATTGCTCCCACTTTAGAATGTATGTCTGACGGACACGGTACTTACTTTTGAAGATTCCTCATATATGTTTTCCTAATGGCGACAGGGCAATCGCAAAATCTACCCCAGCTCAAGGAAACATCGAGTCTCATGGAAAGTCAGAACCTGAAGCTAGATCTTTGGCTCTCCATAACCTCGCGAGTATTATTCCTGACATTTCCAACTATATATTAAGCCTCTACAATCGAGCTATTAATATAACGGATGAACCGCTTCCCCAGCTAGTGTTCTCGGAAACAGTCATAAGACTTGCAAAGCTTCTGACAACCATGCAAGTACGCGATGGTTCTCTTGATACCGACGGTCTACAGCATGTAGTCTTGAATAAACCCCTAGAGCGCATATCACTGCCCGACCAACAAAGAAAACCTAACACTTTTCGCAAAACAGAAATAACGTCTTTCCTATTCCGTGCACTCCCATCTTCACTATCTTCGGATGTCCCTGTGACAGATGCGGTTCAGATATTCATTGGCGTGGCTGCTGTCTTATCGCCTCTAGGGATGGAGCGAAAACAGGCATTCGTTCTGAAGGAGCTTTTCTCAATACTCATTCCTGGGCTTGTACAAGCTAGGAAGATTGGTGCGGCAGAAATTGGAATTCATCCAGCTGCAGGACTATCAGCCCTTAGCAATGCCTCTTTCGACATCAACGCTTTGGATATTGGTCCTGCAAATATGGAATCAGGTTTAAGATCGGTTCTGTCTCTTATTGGAGGGGTCTATGGCGCTAAGCTTACCAATGGACGGGTAAACAGCGAATGGCAGAACGATGGGCATGACTTTGACTATGACTTAATTGAAGCAATCATTGAGCGTACATTTCAGAACTCAGCCCTCGATACATATGGCGACTTGGCTCTGAAGATTGAAATACTTAAATCCTGTATAAACTTCTGTGAAGCATTACCTGACTTTTCGGGCGTTTTGAAGTTTACTGTTGCCCTACTACAAGCCGCCAAGGGCACATATATGCTCACCACAGATCTTCAGAAGGGCAGGCCACGTCTGAGTCCCGATGAGCAAACTCGTTTATACAATACGGTTAAACGCACAGTCAGCGTTGCACACAAGCTTGGGGTATCGGATTTGGAAGCTGAATATTGGGATGATTTCTTGGTTCGCGATGTTCTAATACAACCTTCGAGTGCAGAACGTCCTGTTCGACGAACGAAGCAAGACTTTGGGGTTACCTTTAGTGCTGAAAAGGGCGCTGAAACAGAACCATTTATCTACAATGCATTCTCTAAGCCCCTTACACCAACCGCTGAGGCACCGTTGATTGCTGGCGAGCCTGCAACCGCAAGGGTCATTCTACAAAACCCATTCGACTTTGAACTCGAGATTGAACACATACAGCTTGAAGGTGAAGGCATTGCCTTTGATGCCAGTGCCTCAAATCTCCTCCTTGCGCCATTTTGTCTCCAGGAAATCGGGGTTACTCTATTGGCTGCAGAGGAAGGTGTGCTCAAAATCACTGGATGCACTGTTAAGGTGAAGTTCTGCCGAGAAAGGCGATTCCCTATCTTCAAAAAGATATGGAAATCCGTGCCGGAAACAAAGCTCAAACGCAGAGGTTTGGCTGCTAAGGACCCTTCCTTATCACGGCCTACCTCATGGAGTTCGAACACATCCCAAGGAGCAATACCTTCGAGAAAACCTCCAGAAGCAACGACTTTGTCTGCGAATATCATCAAAGCGCAGCCCATGGTTGAAGTGCAAAGCTCCTCGCTTTTACAATCTGCATTAATGATGCTAGAAGGGGAAACTAGCTTGTTCGAGATTACATTACATAACGCATCCGATTGCCCTGCTGATCTCCTTCTCTTTACTTTTCAAGATTCTACAACAGCTCATCTACAAGCGGCATTAAACAACAAAGACAACCTGCCTACAGAAATCTACGAGTTGGAATATCAGATGTTGAAACGGCCGCCTCTACGTTTACGGACCTCCGGTGCAGGGCAAGAAATACCAACCCTTGACCCTGGTGAGTCAAAGACGTTTACAATTGAAGTATTAGGCAAGCCAGGCCTTAGAACAGCCACTATTCAAGTTGATTATGCATGTATTGGTGCATCACCTTCGGAACTCCCAGACACTTTTTATACCAGGCAAATCAGTATACCATTAACTGTCACCGTCAATGCCAGCTTGAATATTTCCCGGTGCGAGATCCTGCCTTTCAATGGTCATCTTGGATGGATCGGTGATGCATCCTCTGATAAAAAATCAAAAAAGCAACCAACAACATATGCCGCCTTACCTGACTCTTCGACTGTTTCTACCGGTGGCCGAAATGATCCACAGATATCACCGGTTATATCTGAACTAGGATCAAAATACACGGGATCTGACTACTGCTTATTGGTTATAGATTTACGAAATTCGTGGCCTAACCCAATATCTGCTCATCTGAAGGTCACCGACTCGACTACTGGGGAAAAAATCGATAGTTCCGAGGCCGGAACTTCGACTCTTCATTTACAGGAAGTTTCTGACGTACTCCAACCCGGGCACCTCTCTCGCTTCGCTCTGGCTATTCCACGGATATACCTGGATGATCCCCACCAGAAAATTCCTGCATTGAATGCTGCAAATAGACGGCAGTTTGTAGTTAGCGCTAATAAGCTAAGTTATGAGGCGGAAACCGCCAAGAGAGAAGCATTCTGGCTTCGTGAAAAAATGTTCGAGAGCCTCCATGGGCTATGGAAGGATGAGGTTACGGGCCGTGAGGGAGTTATTGACTTCCGTGCGATTGTGTTAACCAATCGTATGATCAGTGCACTTCGAGTGGACGACATAGAGCCAAGCTTTAATCTTCTGCCGCTGCAGAAAACAATCGACCAGGCATCCTGCAGTGACCAATACCCAACTATTCTACAAACAGGCCAGTCAAGATTCTCCGTTTCAACCGACACATTCTTCAACCTTCAAACTACACTTTTCAACCGCTCTTCAAAGCCCATTCATCCCATCATCCGGATACAGCCCACTTTGCGCAACCAACCATATACAGTTGCGCTTGAGCTATCAAGACGCCTATCCTGTACCGGGATGCTTCAACGAGCACTTCCGATTCTAGGCCCCAGGGAACAAAAACAAATAAACCTTGGCATTACTATTCACTGTGCTGGAGAGTACGAAATTAGAGCTACAGTAGAGGAAGTCAAGGCTGCAAACACGATAATCGAACCGACAGAAGAGAAAGCCGCCCCATCATTCGATAAATATGCGTATCATCATGATAGCTACCAGCAATCCTTCGATACCAATGCACCACGACAGCGTCGCAAATGGCATTCTAGACTACCTTGTATAATAATAGCACGAGAGAGCCTTGTGTGACATGCTACCTTGTTAGATGTCGCCCTGTTTCTTTCCTATCCCTCAGGAGTGTGCGCTTCCCTTCTATACTGCACTCTTCGATGCTCTTGTTCTTGTTCTTCTCCTTGTTCTTCTACTCCTTCTTCTTCTGCTTTTCACGATATACAGGACGTTAATGAAGATCCCCGTAGCTAACGATTATGACAACCTTTGTTATCCCTCTTCCCTAGCTCACGTAGCACAGGCATTCCAACTCTGTAGATAGAGCAATTAAGGTTCGCATAAAATTTACCTCTATTTATAGTTTTTCCATAAAACCGAGCATAAAATTTATGTGCGAGCCTCGGCTGAAGAAAAAGATGGAAAGCTTTGATAAGATAAGCTCGGAGATTCCCAGTCTTATATCTTGCAAGGCCCTAGAACAACTTTTTCCCTCTCCCGGCGCGGCTCATAGAGGTTTGATTGCAGTGATACAAGCCAGTCTCGCCTATTGCCCATCCATTGACCCTTTTCGTTTTAGCGTGGCTCACTGCAGGATCTTGACAAACGCTTTTATATACCCCTCCCAACTGTCTGGATAGCAAACAGACAGCTCGAGAACAACACCTGCCTGTGCCATATCCAAAAGCCAAGATATCTCTTCTACGCAATACACCGATGGGAATTCTCTCCTGGTTTCTCCCTAATGGGAGGGTATCGTTCCATCATGCTGGGAAATCTGTCATCTTAAAGCGGAAACCACAGAAGAAAGGCTCTGGAGTGGACGAGTCGAAATGCATCTCCCTTGCTGACCTCTGCAAATCTGCTACACCCGCTGATTGCCAGCTAAACCCTTTCTTGTTCAATGGGCATCTGCAGACGGCGTGGACCCTTATGAGAACAGATGATATTCCTGTTTACTACAAGCGATGGCGCTTTGAAGGAGACAGTCCCGACTATCGCGGGAGCTTTGAAGTGGATTTTGTTGTTCCGCCTTACGACGTCAATAAGACAAGCAGTTCCCTTACTTCTGCGCAGTCAGATAATGGCACGTTTGAATCTTCTACTCCACCAGACTCAACACACCCATCTCCCCGCACAAGCTTCTTTACAAAGGAAGAATTCTCAGCCCTCCCGTCTGATGATAAGAAGCCCATGCTTGTTGTCTTACATGGCTTGTCCGGTGGATCGCACGAACCATACCTACGAAATATAGTCGATCCGCTCCACAAGCAAGGCTGGGAAGTATGTGTTGTTAACTTCCGAGGATGTGCAAATTCAAAGGTTACAAGTTCGATATTATACAATGCGCGCGCAACTTGGGATGTCCGACAGACCGTACGCTGGTTACGAAAGAACTTTCCTTCCCGTCCTTTATTCGGAATTGGATTCTCACTGGGCGCAAATATCCTGACAAACGTAAGCCATGTCATTATTCAATTTTCTGTTATATATGACGGCCCATACAGGTTACTGATACACATATATACACAATTAGTATGTTGGAGAGGAAGGCGAGGATTGCCAGTTAAAGGCGGCAGTCGTCTGCTCAAATCCCTGGAATCTTGAAGTTAGCTCACTGGCATTGCAAAGGACATGGGTGGGATTGCAGATATATTCTAAAACTATGGGGGCGAGTATGAGGCGGCTCTTTGAACAGTACGCAAATACCCCGGGTATAACGAGTGGTTATATTTCTAATTATCAGTGTATAAAGACATGTCGACAAGTTACGGGAGCACCCTCGAGTCAACGTTGAACGAGTCCGGAAAACCACCTATCTTCACGAGTTTGATAGGTAAGTCTGTCCGTTTAGTGGTTGAACCCAATAGCTTTTGCTAACCTGTCTCTCAGAGAGTTACAAGCACCTGTTTGGGGTTATCCCACTGAAACTGCTTATTATCGCGATGCTTCCTCCATTGACTCACTGTTCGCAGTAAAGATCCCCCTTTTTGCCATCCAGGCGGAAGATGACGCTGTATGAAATCGAACTCTGCCCACTATAATAGGATGTCGAGGTGCTAACATCGTGGCCTAGATTTCCTCAAAGGAAGCACTACCATACCTTGAGATGACCAAGACCCCGTACGCAGTAATGTGTACTACTTCCTGGGGAGGTCACCTAAGCTGGTTTGAGTACGGAGGAGGAAGATGGTTCACCAAACCCGTAAGTTTCTAACAATTTCATTCAATTATATGTCATCCGCTCGAACATCGCCCACCAAGTCTTCCACCCGTGCATAATGCCCATGGAGATTCAACTTCTAACCTATGGACTATAGGTTGTCAATTTTCTCAATAAAATGGCGTCTGAAATCGACCTTGATGCTCCACTGACAGTAGTGGAGGAGGAGATGGAGAGCAAGAGTAACTTGAACCCTGCGGCATCTCCTAAAAGAGTTGATGGTCCCCATCCGGACTTCACGCCCATGAGGCGGAAGTTGCATATGCCCATCCCGGACGGCGGAGAATAGCCGCATCCTTTACCCTACGGTATTAACCAAACTATTGTCCATCCCACTGCAAAGTTCGGAGATCCAGGTGACAGTACTCCGTTATAGGTATTGAGTTTCTCTCAGTTTGGCAACGGCCCTCTTTTGTCTCTGAAGTTAAAGATAACCGCACCTTATATAGAAGGTTGGGGATAATTCTCCGCCTCTGGGTATATTTGTATTGTAGCGGGAATGCCCCTTTTCATAATTTTTAGAGCCTCATTTAGGCAAAAGCAACTTTTTTAGATTTTCCCTCTTTCTTAGATTTCGCGTTATTCTGTTCTTCATGCTTGTTGTTCTTAGGTTCTTTCGATCGGCGCGACTTTCGAAGTGAATCTTTCGTCTCCTCCTGTTAAACTGTTAGATGTGGAACATATAGATTACATGCCAACAACATATGCGGCCGGGCAGCAAGTTACTTACCAATTTTGCATTCTTCTTTTCCTTCCTGGCTTCCGCCTCGGCCTTCCTTGCCTCGCGTATTTCCTCCATTTGCCGAGCCTTTATCATCCTGGATTCTATCTGTCCTTCTTTTTCTGCATTCACGATGGCGAGAATGGTCATCATGCTCTCCTGAGATCATAGTTAATATAAGTACGTTCCTCGGGTCAGCGTAAAGACCGCTATAAGATTAACATGGGAGATATACCTGATCGTCGACAAATACCTTTCCCTTCTTTTTGCCTCGCGGTTTTTGCACACCAACAGGTGTGATTTTGTTCAACGTGGGCAAATTCAATTCTTTTTCAGTATACACTCTTCTCTTCTTCTTTTTCAGCATTTCTGGCGCTGAGCGTGACTTCGCTTTGACCTCTGTTGGTTTGGGCTTTGCGCCGGATTTTGTGCTGGACTTCGATTTAGATACTCGATTTGTGGATGACTTTCCGGCCGAAGTAGACTTCGATTTTGAAGATTTGCTCTTTGACCCTTTCGACGGGCCAGCTGGCTTTGTTGGCGCCATGATGATAGCTTGTGTTATGGCGTTGTTATGTCCTGATCGAGAGTGCGCCTGTTCTCCTGGTTTGATATCAGAAAAAAAAAAATGTCAAAAGAATTCACAATTAGAGTTCATTGCACGCCAAGAGCTCGGGTTTAAGCAACGAAAGGAAAGACAACTTCGAGCAGCTTGACAGTGAAACTTAAAATAAAGCAGATGAAAAGATATGTACTTTATATGAATTACTGGACCGATTGAGGTCACCGATGGTGCAATTTATGCTGCATTGCTGCCATAGGGACGCAGTTTACCACAGTATTGCCAGTACTGTAAGTATCTCGCTTAGTCAGCATAGACGCCAAGGTTGTCGGCGATCGTGAATTGAACGAGCCAGAAACAACCGCAACGTCAAGCCGAATTTCGTTTCTCTCTCAAAGCTGTGTTTATAGCAAGATATTTCATAGCTGCAACTCATCATGGTCTTGAATCCAACCTATTTAGCCCAGCGGACGCGATCCTGTAGGTTTCAACCTATTGGCAGTGGCCAATCTCCCGCTTTCGTGGACACTCACTAACCGCTGTCTGGAAACTTGTAGCCGTCAATTGGAAAGATGCGCAGAGAAGAGTACTTAGATCATACCGAGCATGGCTTCGGGCGGTTAGTCTCCCTTTGATTGCGTTATATTTGGCTTCCCTATCCATTCGATGTTGCCTCCGCAGCATGCTTGACAGACAGTGCTGCAAAGGTTCCTCTTCTCAGTGATAATTGATAATTTATACATTGAGGACTGAATAAATGCTAATGGTATCCATTCGTGGCTTGTACAGTCTCCTGAGATCCAAACTATGTACTCTCTTCAACTTCCCGTCTCCGCCATCCGAACCAAGATTAGACAAGAATTTGAGCGACACCGATATGTAAATCAGCTGCCAGTCGTCGATGTTCTTCTATTCCAAAGCCACAGCGAGTTTCAGGTACGAATATGCGCCTACGATTTACCCATAATAGTCCATTGTTTCCTGCTGGCGATTCCCTTCGTATTACATATCCCGATCTATCCATTGGTTCATTCTTCTGTTTAGAATGCTGACCCGGTGTGCGTTATAGGAAACCATGAACTACTGGAAACAGTTGTCCCAATTGATGAAATATTTCAGAGCTGAGGAAGACCCATCAGCCAAACTACCCAAGAACTTCATGTCTGGTTTCATGGAGGTATGTTGCTTGGGCATACTTTCCTTCCGTCTCACTCAAAGTAGCTCACTAGACTAATATTAATATAGGGACGAAATTAAACAATTACACTTCTCAACTTGTACTATTGTGAGGTGGGGCTATGAAGGCGGTGAAATGTATATATCCTAGCACTGTCTTTATATTTCTTATACTTTTTTTACGCAATTTTCTCAACTAGAGTATTGAGACTACCGAAAGACAACAAAAGTCAAAAAAATACTTGAATAAACCCTCTAATGCAGTTCCAAAGTAACCTTGCGCCTAAGCTGGTATTAAATGATACAGCCATGCCATCGTAATGAATCCTTCCCATTTATATAATTTTCCGCATCATTGCTGCATCTTGCTAGCTTCGAAGGCATCCCTTGAAAGGGTGAACTTTTCGGTAACAACATCACATAGATCCATCAAGTCGTTGAGTCCCTTCTCTAGAACCGTGAATACATTGGTCGAATCTAGGAAAAGGTTAGGTACGTAGATACAAGTAACTCAATGTGCCAGGAACTATATCAAAACGTAGGAAGACGCAAAACTCACCATAAGTCTGGATTCTCAAGTTCATCTTAGCTTCTGAAGGATGGGGCATCGTGTATCCGCAAAATTCAACGTCAGGACTATCGGGAATATATTAGCGGGCTGCCTCGACTTGCATTTTGTTGCATCCGAGCGGCAAACAACATAGCAGACAAATCTCACTTTTTCATAATGACGTATCGTAGCGCATTTCCAAGAGTATGATCTTCGTCTTCGAACTGGAACGAGGCAGCTGTCTCAACGGCGCCAGGAAGCTATGTAAAAGCAGTGTCATTAATAAATACTGTATCCCTCGAGAAGTAATACCATAGAAAAGGTTGGAAAACTCACAATGGTTATTCTTTGCCGATCATTAGCCAAGTATTCGTCTTCTTCGTCCTCTTCATCCTCAATATCTTCTTGCTGCTCTACATCAACTTCTTGGTCTTCGAGCGGTTGCGCATCGACCATGGATTCATCCTCTGGGACTTTTCCCGGCATTTTGGGTTCGTGCAGAGTAGTTTCGAGTGCAAGCTATGTAGTTGTATCGATTAATGGGTTCAAATGATTTGTCTTTGGTAGATTGGGTCTTCGGTGAACTCTTAAGTTAGTGATCTTGGTATCTTTTCCTTTCTTCCTTTCCTTCTTTCTTTACTTTTTTTTTTTTTTTTTTTTTTTTTTTTTTGATATCAGCAGTTCATGAAGAGCCGCATCTAACTATCATCACGTGACATAGTTATCAACTCAAAATAGACTGCAGCGACAGCAAACTCACCAGCGCGACCAACTGCTATCAACAGTGTCTTTTATCAGCCTCTACTTGTATGTGGAGGGTATCAACTTGGGGCCGCTGCGGAGTGCAGCCCATTTATATGGCCTGGAGCCGTATTCAACCGTCGAACCATCCATTTCGACCCCAATCGCTTTTTCTACCAGCTTTCAAACCACCCGTTCATGTTAGTCCTCAAAGGAGGTGGACATCATGTTTTCAGGATGAGAAGCCAACCACTATATATGCGCTCTCCACTGCCCCTGGCAGAGCTGCTATAGCCATCATTCGAATTTCGGGACCAGATTGCATTCCAGTGTGTAAATGTTCTGTTAACCAGATATTCCGTCGAACTGAGTAAAATCTAATAATAGCGGAGTTTTAGATATACAATGCTCTCTGCCCGAACAGAAAACTCCCAAAACCTCGTTTTGCCGCTCTTCGTACAATATATGAACCTGGAAAACCAGTATCGGCTGATAATGCTCTAGACTCAGGCGCCCTTGTCTTCCATTTTCCAGCACCCAACACAGTCACAGGAGAGGATGTACTCGAACTGCACGTCCATGGAGGCCCTGCGGTAATCAAGTCTATCCTCAGTGCGATTCCAAAATGTGCAAGCCCTGGAGATGCCCCATCAGCGTCTATTCGTTACGCCGAACCGGGAGAGTTCACCCGCAGAGCGTTCCTTAATGACCGCCTCGACTTGCCGCAGATTGAAGCTCTCGGTAATACACTAGCTGCGGATACAGAACAACAGCGCCGACTTGCCATTCGAGGTACAAATGATGCTTTATCTACGCGGTATGAGCAGTGGAGAAAGCAGCTTTTGTATGCTCGAGGTGAACTGGAAGCTCTAATAGATTTTTCTGAAGACCAACATTTCGACGAATCGGTGGACGATTTTATATCCTCTGTTACCGGTCAAGTTGATAGCCTGCTGCATCAGATAAATTTACACATCAAGAACGCATCAAAGGGTGAGCTTCTCAGGAGTGGTATTAAGGTCGCGCTGCTGGGAGCACCAAACGCTGGAAAAAGCTCATTGCTGAATCAGATCGTTGGACGGGATGCTGCTATTGTAAGCAGCGAAGAAGGTACTACGAGAGATATTGTTGATGTCGGTATAGACCTTGGGGGTTGGCTGTGTAAATTTGGCGATATGGCTGGACTACGATCTAAGCTATCGCAAAGCCAAATTCCCGCCCAGGGTCATGTGTTTTCGACAGTCGGCAAGATTGAGGAAGAAGGGATCCGCCGTGCCAAAGCTCGGGCTCTTGAGTCTGATGTAGTGGTAGTCGTGCTCTCTGTTGAAGGATCGAGAGAACAAGGATTGAGTTTAGAGCCAGAAGTTGTTAGCGCTGTCCACAGCTGCCTCAAGCTTGACAAAAAGGTCCTAGTGGCCATCAACAAAACGGATATGCTCTCCGTGAAGCCGGGATATCATGTCATGCCTAACTATAAAGCTCAGGTGTCTACAATCTTTGGAGGCCTAGACCCAGACCTGATATTTCCGATATCCTGCCAAGAGGCTCAAAATTCCACTGGCCGGGATCCTGGCGGCATCCAATCACTCCTTAAGGGCCTAATACGCACATTCGAGGAGATATCTACGCCCGCAGGCCTACAATCGGATGGAGAACAAATAGGTCAACAATTTGATAAAACTTATTGGGAAGATTCATTAGGGGTAACGCATCGACAAAGCTCTAATCTACAAATATGTGCCCAGCACCTAAACGACTTTCTATCCCAAATCAATGAGGGTTCTATAACGCCTGATAATGCCATCGACAGTATTAAAAACAACACGATAATAAAACAAGTGGAGAAGGACGTCGACATCGTGATGGCCGCGGAACACCTGCGGTTTGCGGCCGAATCCCTTTCAAAGATCACTGGTCGTGGTGAAGGTGGTGATGTCGAGAGCGTGCTCGGAGTTGTGTTTGAAAAGTAAGTGCCCGTCGTTGTCGCCGTCGTTCCGTCTAATGCAAAATAAAAAATAAAAAAAAAAAAAGTTCTCCCTGATACTAATGCAAGTCCCGGATGCAGATTCTGTGTTGGCAAATGAGCTCAAAGACCCAGCCATTCCTCATAGGCGGTTTTGCGCTCCTGCACGCCCGCCGAATTCGTGAAAAGAAAGCCCAAGCCCAAAGTGTAGAAGGAAGAAGAAATGATTCCCCAGGCGGATCAAAGTCGCTAGATTCATGGCCGGCATCAATCAATCCCTTATCTTGCAAGAAGAATAGGAGGATATTGTTTTTGGGAAAAAAATCCTCCTCTCCTCCCCCGTTTTAGGATTCATCGTCACCGTCTCCATCATGGGGGCTATTATAGCCGCCTCTGCCTTGTTGGTTGACTAATTGTCGTCTTGGGCTGTTGTAACCGCCTCGACCCATTGTTGCTTGAGTGGTGAAGCCTGAAGTTGGCGGAATGTTTAACGGTGAAATGGTTGCGCCTTGAGAGTCTAGGCTTGCCGCGTGTTGAAAGATATATAGATGAACT